CACACACACACACACACCACTGATAGGGAGAAAAAAATTGCCAAAATATTCATTGTCAATGTCAGTCTGAAAGAGAGAAAAACTGTTTATTTGTCCGTTCGCCCCTACAGAGGGGTTAAAAAAATTTGAACGTGGCGGTATCAAGCACCTTTTGCCTACGTGTACATACTTGGGAGTTTCCTTCCTCTGCCTCCAAGAAGCCGCCCAGTTCTTCTACATCCGTAAGGGTGAACCAACCAGGGTAGCAAACCGTCTTCTCCGGTGGTTCTAGCGGCCCACGAGCCTTAGAACTGCCCTAACGGCTCGCTGCGATAGGGCTCAGTCATGTTCTCTCTCCTCGTCCTCCTCACTGAGCTTGGAAGGATGCACGCCAGCCTGGGTAAGTCCGCAAAGATTCTGACCTTCCTTCTTCTGCCTCTGAGAAGAGCTAGGCTATTCCAGGGAAGAGATATCCTTGCCTCTCCTCCTTGAATCCCTGTGCCCTTTCATTCAGATCACCATTGAACCAAAGTCCACGCGAGCCTATGATGGTAGTTAATGAGTCCACATTCAGATTCAACCCCACCTTATTGTCAGAGGATTGAGTTCTTGAGGAAAGCTAAACACAATGTGGTTCCGAAAACCCACACATCTGCAAATATAGAACACTACCCTCACCCCCTTCTTAATTTTCGATATGCCAATAGGTTTATAAGTTTTGTAAGAACAGGGTTCCACCTACATACTGGGGGTTATGAACCAAAGTTTAACAGAGATTGATGTTGATCCATGTAAATACATTTTCTTATTGCAGACGCTGAAAAAATCTTCTGGCATGTCACTCTTCCACGGAAGATATGGTCCAATGAGAGAGAAGATTCAGAGAAGCAGGTAAGTGAACAAAACATTTTAAATAATTTAGAATGTTAAGGCTGACTTGTTTCCAATGATTTGCCTTTCTTTGTATTATTATGTCACACTAATTTATTCACTTCCAGATCAGGAGGGTCGAGGCAAATCAAGATAATATGCATGCATATTTTGATTTTTTCCTACATCACCCTTTCCCCCCTTTTCTCTTCCCTTTATCTTCGTGTCTTCTAACATATTTGTTCACAATCTTCAAGAAATAATAAATACATTAAAGCAATTATATTGGTAGAAAAAAATTCAGCATCAAGTAAACACAATATTCCAGGCTAAATATTATAAAATTTGTTCTCAAATTCACTATATGACAGAGGAATCGGTCTTGTGTAAAATGTAGACCTACAAGATTGGACTCAAGTTTCAGATTTAGAAGGATTGACCAAAGGAAGATGGAAAGACTGAAAATGGAAATATCAGAACATCACATTGGCCAGATTATGTAGAAAATGTTATAATAAAATAAATATTCATTGGAGAAAGAAGTTGAAAGAAAAGTCAATAGACATTTGGTTTTAATATTTCCTCTATTAAAATATTTCAATGAGATGGATTGGCATAATGGCTGTAACAAATGGGCTCAAATATAGGAACAATTTTCCCATCAGTATCCCTCATCCCTCATCTGTCTACCTGGGAACCTCATGACAGCAACTCAATAGATGACATAACCTTCCTCTCTCTTAATCATTTGATCCCAGCTGATGTGAAGCACCCTCCGGCAAACTGACCTTCAAAATACATACCTCTAGTGGAGGGTGCTGTATGGTTCATTGGCACTGGTCAGGCGTCTCTACCAGGCTTCTGGCCAACAGATTGAATGCCCTACAAGCCTGAGCTTATTCCTGTCCTGCTGCTTGTTCCTGCATCAGTGAGTTCATCCAATATTTGTCCTTTTGTGATTGACTAACTTTGCTTGGCATAATGTCTTCCTTTGCAGTACATGAAACCCAGGATTGATGAACCTATAGGGATTGATGAACCTACAGGGACAGCAACTAGAATATGAGTTTCTGGGGGGTACAGTGGTGGTGGAAGGGGGTAAAAGGGAGCTAATGCCAAGGAGTTCAAGAAGGAAAAGAATGTTTGAAACTGATGTGGTAGCAATTGCACAATATTGCTTGATGTGATTGAGCTGTGGAATGATGTGATATTTGTATTAACTCCCAATAAAATGGTTTTGAAATAAAAAACAGAATAGGAACAATTATGAAGAAGGTGCAGGACTGGTAGTGTTCTGTTTTGATGTGCATTGGGTCTCTGGATCAGAACTGACTCCATGGCACCTTAGAACATCAACAAAGACAACATAGTTTAACTAGGTGTAATATTTTATCTAAATAACATAGTACAAGGTTTCAGTCTCCATTTGCTCAAAATGATGGGAAAATACTTTTCAGATGAAAGAAAAAAATTTTCAATCATAGTAAACCAAAATAATTTAACAATCCTTAATATTATATTGGCAGTTCATAATGAAATCTACTAGGACTCTATTTAGCTACTGATCAATTAAAATAAAAATAAAATACATGTGAAATTATATCCATAAATCACAATACAATAATTTTCTTTACTGAGATCATAAACTAGATTTTGTTATATCAACAAAATTTTCCTTGTATAAATTTTTTGTATTGATCTATAACATAATACAATTCAATGCTTCATTCATATCAAGAAGTACTATGTAGTTGTCATCACAACCAGTCTTTGCAGCTCTTTTTTTTCTTTTACACATTGATGTGATCCCCACTTTCCCTCTTCCTATTCTGTGTTCTCAGATAATCATCATACCTGTTATTTTCTCCATCAACCTCAATTTCTCTATACAGAGAACTGTAGAAGAATAGGGCGTTACACCAAACAAGGATCCATCAATAATGGCCATTCAAAAGGGATTGAGACCTCACTCTAAAAGCAAACAGAGAATATGAAAAGTTTAGAGTTAATTCCCGTTGGGTCCATAAGGAGATCGTATTGCAAGACTTTACATTCATCCCGAGTACTGTTGCTGAACTCCCCTTTACAAAGTTTACCATCTGATTTTTGGATTACTGTCATTTCCAGCCAATGTGTATTGAGGATTCACCGGAGGCTCATCACATGTAGTGACTCTGTAAATGGATTTTGAGATAACATTATCATCCATAGATTTCTGTAATCTGGCTGTTTAGAATTTGGATACTTTTCCTGGTTTGGATCTTGTTATTAGCTGTCTATGGATCACACAGGTTGGTATGCTTCTTCTGTGTGTACTTTGGTGACTCCTGCCCTAGATGGCTGCTTGTTTTGAGACAAGTCTTTAAGATCCCAGATGTTATTATTCATGCTAGCCGGGCACCATCTAGTATCTTCATCACACTTTGCTGTGGCATCCATGTCTTCCGTGATCTCTTCATGGGGGCAAGTACCAGGGAGTGCCATGTCATAGGAACTATTGTTCTTGTGTTAGGGCTGTGATCAAGTGATGGCTGAAAATCCATACCTAGTTGCTGTTTATGGAAGTCCTTAATTTGATTTTTGGACCATCAGTCATTTTAGCACAGTAGGTCATAAATCAACCCCTTAGAGTTAAAACTTTTGGGGTACTTTGCTTTTCCCTAGGAAACTGAAACTTTAGTTTCAGGGTTACAAGTGTCAGAAAATAGTCTATTCTCTAGTTTATAACTTCAATTCCTCTGCAATCTTTTGTTGGAAAATTCTTTACAAAAAACTTATTTTTTTCCTGATTTGTGATTCTTTCCTCTACATTACATAATCACTTCAAATTTCCAATTGCTTATTGCCTGTCATAAAACATACAGCAACTCTTTCACAGAAGTCTGGATATTTTAACTATAGCGTGCAATTCTTCAGTACGTGTCCGCATTTTTGGTATTGATTCTGTAATCCTTATAACTATCTTTGGAGTCACCCCTCTTCACCTCCCCTCAAGTGACAGGGTGTGTCTAATGCTCTGTTTTTATTTCTTACAGTAGATCTCCCTTTATGCCTCTTGTTCTTTTGCTTTAATCTTTTGGAAATTTCTTTATGACTTTCCATCTCTTTTTTTTTTTAAATCATTTTATTAGGGGCTCATACAACTCTTATCAAAATTCATACACACA